GATATATTTGCAGTATATAATGAAAATGGCCTGTAGGACATTTTCAATATATTGCCTAACCCTAGTAAGTATTTGTTGTTGTTACATACTGTAAGTTATGGGGGCAGAAGCTGCATCTACTGTCAGTGTTTTGTGTCATACTAGGTCAGCAATAAAAATTGCAAAAAGTAAAAAATGTTATCTGAACAAACTGCAATGACAAATAGTGAGTTTGAAATCGGCCAAAGTTTCCCTTAGAAGGTACAGGACCTTCATCATCGAGGTAAATATAATGTAACCATTTTTACTATCAGTCAAATAAACTAACAATGACTATTGTTAGAAAACAGAATGCAAATAGTGGCCTCTTGTGTCAAAATCTGGTGTTTTGTTGACCGATCAAACCAATGTGACCTATTCCCTCTAACCCTGACTTTGTGGTTATTTTTAATAATCTGCTCAAGAGACGGACAGCAGTCACAGCTCCTGTGAACCAGGAGGGCTTGTCACAAGAATATTTAGTATTGGACAGCTACAGTATAACCATCTGAGATATAATCTACCAACCTACAGATATTAATAAAACAGACCTGTCTTTTGTTTATAAATGTACAAGAGTCTCCTTGAACAACAGAGAGAGAGTACATTGCTAGTCATGCTTTCACATTCAAACAGTGGGTGCAGGCCACCACACTTCACATCTAAAGCTCCTTACACACGAGCCGATTTTAGGCGTCAATAGATGTCGATAGATGTCGGGCCGTCGATGAGCGTTGTGTCGCCCTACTCAGATTGGTGTGTACTGCACCGCCGTGTCTTTTCGGCCGTGCAGACACCTTCCGCCGCCGATTTGACATGTTGAATCGGAAGGCCGTCGGCCAAAGAAATCACTCTGATTGGCTGTTCAGCTTAGCGAATCAGTGCATGAGAAGCGAAACGTAAGTGAGGGACCCAAACAAACTATTAAGAAGGCAAATCTGAGATTTCATTTAACTCGAGCTCTCGACACAGGTTCAGGAAAGCCCCATGAGCTTCTCGCTGTAGAGTAAAAATGGAACGCACACGCTATTTGTTGTTTGTTTATATCACGCAGTCTGTTCTTCTTCTCTCGGTGTATCACGCAGTCTGTCTTCCGGTTGTTGCCTCTTTTGAATGACGAATACACACTACCGACGCCTGCTGGTAAGGAGAGTTATTGCCACTCACGCATGCGCAGTTCGTACGTGCAACTTGGCCGTCGGCTGAAGTCTATGCGGTGTGTTCCAGTGCGACACATGGCCAAGACGCAGGAGACGTGAGCCGACGTTCCGTCGAGACGTGTTCTTTGGTGTCAGTTTGGTGTGTAAGAGCTTTAACCCAACCATTGGAAACTGGTAGATTCCTGGCTTGACGCATTTTACACACCAATGACCAGTGACTTAACTAAAAGGAGAAAGAGGGTGGAAAGGAGGGAGGGAGAGGAGGTCAACACCACAATGCCACAATTGCTTGTTGTTGAGTGACTAAGATTTGAATTTGGGCAGCAGCCCCAGAATTCACTTGTGAGGGAAAAGTGAAAACAGCTCATTGTGAAAACCTCAGTGACCTAAAAGGCAAATAAAGCAGAAGCCCTGCCCAAGTGATAGGCAACGCACTATATACTGGGAAAGCCCTTTGTTTACAACTTCAAATAGAAATTTAAATCAAAGGGACTGTGACTAACTTTTTCATAGGACGCAGACATTATCTCCAGTGTAAACAGATTGTGACATACAGACACATTGCCCACGCTAACCACCCACATCCAGAAATAACTTGGAACCAAACTCACCAAGTTGTGATACCGTGGCTTTAAACCAGAGACTGTCATGATGCTTTAAAAATGTAATCTAGCAAAATAAAGACTTAAAAACTGACATCTGGCTTTCCCAAATCTGTTAAACATCTAAATATTACTACTTGGCAAGGTAGGTTTGACAGACTTAACTTTGGACCAAATCTATAAACATCAGTAACTTTGTTTGGCATAAATGGGGCGAAGCCTGCGAGCTAGTTCATGCAGTCAACTCGAGCACCAATGATACATTAACATGTGACGCACCTCGTCCCTCTTACAACCAACCAAACACATTCTCCTAAACATGCCGCTCTATTTAAGCTGCCAGGTCTTCCTGACTCTGCCTCGCTATGCCACTGCTGTGTTCACTTGCTATTGCTGCGTTCATGTTCCTGCTGCTGTGTTTCATGTTGCTGCTGCTTGCCTGCCCCACCACCACCCCAGCTTCCACCCCAGCTTCCACCTGTAGGCTCGGGGGATAGTTATCTAATCATCACTCAATGTTCTTTGTAAATCTGTGGAGTGATGAGGCCCGAGCCTAGACGCCAAACTCAAACTATATGCTGCTTATAATAAACATATTAAGAAACACGTGAGTTGTCTGACTGAACTAGAAAACATTAGCCTTTCGATTTCAAAATCAGCTTCTGGTATTTGGCCCTCTAGGACACGTGTCAAACTCAAGGCCCGGGGGCCAAATCAGGGCCTTGGTGGATTTAATTTCGGCCTGCAGGATCATTTCTAATTACTATTAGATCTGGCCCGCCGGTATATTGCACGCACACCTTCACTCCTGAAGGTTTCCTCAGCTCAGAGCCTGACCCCAAACATTGATGAACTTGCATGAGATGCATCACAGAGCAGCAAACTGAGTTTAAATGGATGTTTCCTTCTGCACTTTTTTTCTTGCGACAACAGGGCATGTTTGTTTTTTTCTTTGAGGGAAATTGTTTTTTGAAGCTGTTGTAATGTAATCATAAGAAATGACTCCGGAAAAGCTGCAGATAGAGCCATAAGAAATGAATGCAACTGATTATTTAATGTTTAATGTTGTTTTTATAGGCAATAATTTAAGCTTTGTTAGTTCCAGGTTTAATATGTGCAATAAGTTCATTTCAATACGTTTTGCAATAAACATTTAACCAGTCCGGCCCTCGACTAGTACCGATTTTTTTATTTTGGCCCACTGTGTATTTGAGTTTGACACCCCTGCTCTAGGATATCTGATATCTGAATCCGCAGTGATGAGTGAATCACCTGTTTTTCCTCATTTCCAATAGCCACAATCCTACTTTGAAATTCCCCTGACAGATACTTGATCTGCTAATCCACCACCTGATGTAACAATTGACTGGATCTATGCACAGCGGACTACTTCCCTCGGCACTCAGCATCACGGCAAACTGTCATCAAGAGGGGTAGCGATGAGCCCCATCAGGGAGTACATGTGTCAGAGAGATAGGAGCTGACCTCCTCACGGACAGGCCTGAACACGAAGGCAGCTGCTGTCAGCGAGCCACTGCGCAGGGGAATTAATAGAAACAGCAGCTCTCCAGGGACACGGTTAGCCCACACTGACAACCAGATCTGATCTGGGGTCATCTTAATACACTCCCCTTCTTCCCCTCTGCATTAGTGGTGGTGAATATGAAACCTGGATCATGACAAACATTATTTAACTTTCCGGGAAGGCTTAACTCTGAACGCTGGTCCAGGCCCGTGCAAGCTGTGATATGCACACTTGGGGCAATAAAGAATGTGGGAGTGCCCGGTGCATGGGGTTCAATTTTCATCTGACACACAGTAAGCTATTAAATCTGCATTGCCCACACATGCAAGTTAGACTTTCCTGAACGGAAGCAATACTTCGAGGCCTTTATGTGCTACTTATAACTTGAAAATCAGAAGAAACTTAAGAATAGCTGTGAGTGTGAACATACACTCTGTTGCCATTTTACGAGTATCAACTGACTGGAATTATTGAAATCTAATATGATAAAACTAATACAAATCCGGCTTTCATGCAACTCATACTGTTCAGTTTTGTTAAAAGTGTTGATGGGAGGTGTTCATTTAATGTCATCCTTATTTTGGAGGGTTTCTATTGTGGGGTTGTTGAGTTCTGTTGCACTATAGTGAGAGTCCTGTTCTTTTATTTGGTCTTCAGGGGCTCATTTAGGACTTACTTTATTACTGATACACCTGTTAATTATTCCCCTGTGTGTGCCTTTTACACGCACAGTCCACATAGTTGTATGCTGGAACCTGGGAATATTTGATTGAGTAGAAGAAGAGACTTCTACGATGCAGCTGTACACTCACACTGTACATGCGGTGGACCACAATTCCTAGGTGTGTTATTAAACTGGGAGGTGAGTGTAGAGAATGTAATCCATGCTGCCCTGTTATATCTACACAGTCCATTCATGCTGTATATTGGAGTGTGTACTCTGAGAGAGATCTGAGAAAATTAACACTCTTTTGGCAGACATGGTTTGTGTTTACAAAGCATCTCTTGCCTGTATCATCCTGTCACTATGGGAAGAGAGCTGATGTTTATAATGTATCTGAATGCTTGATAGTGAAAAGCAGTAATGTGATGTTGAATGTCAGAGTTGATTTTTGGTTAAAATACTCTTTTGATAGACAAATGCCTACATAGATGCATTGAGAGGAGAGACAGCTGCACAGATTCGCCCACGCACTCACACAAACCCACAGCGCTAGAAAGTGTCCCAGATTAAGGCCAAGTTATATAACCTGGACTCCATTGGTGCTTCTGCATCGCATGTGCGTTGCTGGCTAGTACACGTTATATCCTTATTTAACAACATGACTCCAGTTAAACTTAAATTTAAAAGACTCTGCACAAAAAGCGTCTCTTGGGCTTAATGAATGATTGCATTGAAGCTAACTGACATTTGCTAGCTTTCTCTATGGACCACTGCTAGCTCGTTAAGCATTGCATTAGCCACAATGATACAGTATAATTAAACATTTGCAGGAGTTTTTAATATTGACGCAAGACAGGAAGGGGAACTCGTCAGTCAAGTGAGGATGCCATACATATGTGAGTTAAGGTGCTATAGCTAAACACTGTGAGCTGTTTTCTGAAACGAAGCTGTAATTAAACGTCTGTATAAAGTATCCAACTCAGCAAAGTTCACTGTGATGCTGAGTTCACGGTCCCCATCACTCTGCTTACCTCGGTATGGTGATGCATTTTGTGTTGATATTCTGGGTAGTGATTGCTTTCTCCAGCTCGTCCAGCTGTCCCGTCTTCTTCAGCTTCTTCACTAGACTTTTCACCGCCTTTTCACACCATTTCTCCTCCTGTCCGTTTTGCTCTCCCTTCTTCCAGCCCAAAAGTCTTTTAACAATGGGGGGAGTGAAAGGCAAAATTGACATCTTGAGTTCAGTTTAAGTCCTTCCAGTGTCGAGAAGTCCCGGTGGGTCAGGAGAAAAACACGGAAACTGTTCTGCAAAACGGCCCAAAATAGTGGAGGCGAACGCGTTATTTAGCCAAAAGACAAATTGTTGTTGTTTATTAAGCGAAACACCGACGCATCCCGGAGTTAAACGCACTCCGTCTGGCTGGAGCTCAGCGGTGAACTGTGCACCGGTAGTCTGCTGCGGCGCTGTGGATCTAGTGCTACTCCGCCGCGAAACCTAGTCCCGTCTGCACGTATTAAATCTAACAGATTTCTACATACACCCAACACGAGTCCCGCCCAAACTACGTATTTAACTCCAACCAGGTTCAAGCAACGAACTGAAAGTATTTTATCAGTTAATTTTGTCTTTGCTCCCTTAACCTCCGATCACCAAAGTTTTGCTGAGTTCATCCGCGGTGCTGGGTCTCCCGACTAAAGTCTGCATCAAATGCAAATGCAGTCTGAGCTGCTGCTGAGAGTCACCATTCAATCTCCAGACTGCACAGCAGACCTGCGAGAGGCCAGGCTGAACAGCTGGCCAAATGTGCTGCGCTGATATTGCACAACCCCTTTCTTTTCTCTGCAATTGCTTGCTGATGAAAGTTGCATGGGGCTGTGCCTAAATGAGCTGTCACAATCAAACACATGCACAGATAACTTGATGTATATGCAACACCTAGAAAAAAAGGAAATTGCTTGTGACAGCAATTAGAAAGTTTAATGAAATGTTGTACTTTTTGTCCTTTATTTTATTTTTTAACCCCATAGGTGTACTATCTAAAATATATGATAAACGTATAGTTTAAGTAGAGATTGGCTATACTTAAACTACATTTCCACAGACAAAAGTTGAATCTCTTCTTGGTGAATCCTCTTTAAAACTACCAAAATGAAATCCTGCATCTGTTACAGTTTATTTGCATAACATCATACATAGTTGTAGTCCAAAAAGGGCCCCAGTGTTCTTACCTCCTCATTTCCCTCCACAGGGTAATACCATTTAGGTTTTTCACTTTAAGAGGAAAACACAATCTTTTTTTTTAATTTTCTCTTTGGAAACCCACACACTCCTCTTAACTATCCAACATTTAACTGCTTTTGCATAGGGTACATTCTTGTGGTTGTTTATTGTGCAAAGACTTGTGGGGTTTGAAATTCAGCATCCTTCAACACAAGACTCTCCAGTAATTGCTATACTGTGTTTGTCTCCACATGGGTAAATAACTGAATAGCTGCTGTAAGGTGGAAGGTGATCAAAGTAATGCACACGCTAAGCCAGCAACTTGCCTCAGCTTGTTTCAGAGATATGAAGACAGGACGCCTACTCAACAAGGTGGCAGTTTGGTTTGCAGCGGTGGTTTGCAGTGGTTTGCAGTGGGGCTCAGCCCCTTAAACTATAGGCTGACATATGCTCACACTTACACATGTGTACACCCCTACTTCACACACACACACACACACCCCCACACACAGTGTCAAGGAGTCAAGAGTGCCAGATGTACAATAGAGTGTGTCACACAGCTGAGCTCACCACAGAGAGTGATAGTCGGACAGTTTAGGGTGTGAAGCAGCCTTTGTTCTTCAAGCTTCAAAAGAAAGACACTACTGCGTTCAAAAGCGGTTTCTAAACTTGGGTGCCTTTTTTTGAAAGAGTTGTAAAAGTTGTAAATGCTATGCACAAAGAAGCTGGAGCACTTGCTGGGTTTCTTTTCACAAATTCCAATATTCAAAGTGTAAAACACAAAAGGTTTTAGAGCCAGTCAAGCAAATAAAAGCGGAATAACTTGCGTACTTAGGGTTTTAAAAGGCTGCACTGGAAAATATACATTAAAAAGTAAAATAACTCATTTTTCTACTGCTGAACTGAACTATGTGATTATAAGTCAAATGTAAGTGGAAAACGTATAATTTTCCATCACATAAAAGAGCCAAACCTTTAATCAGTTCCTCCATTGACAGTTCACACTCATCCAAGAATAGTAGCATCGCCATGTGGTTACCATTTTGGTTTGTGTGTATAGGCTGCAGGAGCATCGACCAGCAGCTCTGTGCACAGTGTGGTGTTTGTGCTAAAAATAGAGCTGGCTTTGGCTTAGCAGGACAGACCCCTTCCTTTTATCTATTTTGGTTACACAGCAATATATATTTTTATACCAGCTAAAGGCATGTCAAGGTTCTTCCTTCATGCGTACATCCAAAAGAAGCCGGATAAAAGATTCACACTGCACAATAATATATTGAAATAAAAAAATCATGTACAACTTTTAAATAAAGTAAATATGTAATAACTTATTATTGATAATAATAAACTTTATTTACTGTAGATAGCACCTTTCATGCTTGACGCAGCCCAAAGTGCTTTACAGAGTATGACAGAAAATGACAATAACAAATGAGGAACAAAATTAGGTATAAACAAACAGAAAGAGTTATATCACTGAACCATAAAACAATAAAACAATAAAACATGAACAGTGATACTACTAAAAAATTCCAATTGCCCCAAATTATAAGCCAAATTAAAAGGATAGGTCTTTAATTTACTTTTGAAAATTCCAATATGACATTTTCTTGTGCTTTTAGCCATGAACTGCTCCTCATCTGTGATAACACCAAGACTGCATCTGTAAAACTCCCCACTCTCTGGTCTCCTGTGTGGTGTGTTGGCAGGTTGGAGGACTCAGCCGGAGGAGCGTGCTGCCATGCGTCACATGCTGGGTCCCTGAAGCCCTCACGGCACCTGTTTACGCCCCCAGGGACACGACCGGCCAAGACAGCTGGTTTGTTTTGGAGAAGTGCAGGGTGAGACGGGGGGGAAATGGGGGTGCAGGATGGGGGGATGGGATTACAGATGGGCCGCAGGAGACGGGGGGAAAGGACAGGGTGGACGGTGGGGATGGTGGAGGGGAGGGGGGTCTTCTGTGAGAAGAATTACTGAGCACAAAAGGCACGTCAGCAAGACTGAATGGGCAGTGACCACATACAATCCGATGGTTGATCATGACATTGTGCCTGCCACAACCTCAGGGGACTTGGTCCAGGGTGTGTGTGTGTGTGTGTGTGTGTGTGTGTGTGTGTGTGTGTGTGGTGTGTGTGTGTGTGTGTGTGTGTGTGTGTGTGTGTGTATGTGTGTGTGTGTGTGTGTGTGTGTGTGTGTGTGAAGGGGGGTTATGTCAGCTGGTCAGAAAGAAAATAAGATGTGGGTGTTGGGATGTGATAAAGACACAGATTATCAATGTTTGGTAATCTTAAAAAAAGGAAATTACAATTTCACTGATTAACAGCTCATTTTAAAACGTATCTTTAATACATAAAAAAGAGCATTTACCACTTCATTTGTATTCAACATTCACTGTGAAGTTCCCCTTAAGTAGCTTCAAAGTTAGATTAAAACATCTCTTGCGTCTGTTGCGTTGTGTAGTTTTATATGTATCTATACCTTATTGCATAACAAGTTATTAAACTGAGTGAAATGTGTAGGTGTTTTTGCCATTATTTTATACATGTTTTCATTTATTTATAATCTGGTATTGTTACCTCTTTTATCAGCCTTAACAACACACTCTCACTAACCCTGCTCAATGGGTTAACATTACTCAAACCGTGTCAAAATTAGAAGCTTCAATGTAACAACGTTTGTAAATGCCCAACACAACTACTATTTAGTCCATGCCCACGTAGGAGACAGGAAGTGTGTCTTTACTTGATAGAGCATCTTTTGAATCATCAGGTACATTTACTTGAAGTATTCAAAGTAAAAGTGTCCATTTTAAACCATTATGCATAGCTGCTCAAGATGGAGATCTTTTAATTTCTTTGTATACTATTTTGTAGTTTAATCTCCAATGTATCTTATTCAAAATATGATTATATGTTTTGTGACTAAACCAATGTAAGTCTGGACAATAGCTAATAAATATATTAAGTACAGTCAAAAGAACAATAAATAACTTGGAAATGTGCAGTATTGCAAACATAACTTGAAAAACTCAAGTAAAGTATTAAATGTACCTCAAAACTTTTCTTATTTACAGTACTTGAGTAAATGTATGCAGCTTGCTTTCATCCCACAAGTGTGTACTGTCTGAGGGGTCACAAGTCGTCTGCTTTGGCAATAGATTTCAAAATCTCTTTACAGATCTTTGCAGATTAATGACGCCAAATGTATTTCCTGTCAAAATAGTGTCTTACATTGAGTGTGTGAAGAATCATATAAAAAGTGTTCTCACCAATTTCTTGGCAATAACGTCACACTTTGTTCTCTCTCTCTGAGAAAGCCATCAATCTGCCAACAGCTCCTGACAGCTTCTCCTGCAAGCACATGGTACCAGAGGCTCTGCATCTTGACACACACACACACACACACACACACACACACACACACACACACACACACACACACACACACACACACACACACACACACACACACACACACACACACACACATACACACACACACATACACCCACATGCAGCCTGCCCTTCCTTCTGCCTTCAGTACATGACAAATTCAATTTCATTTTGTTTGAACAATCACCCCATTTGATGTATTTGTGAGCATTATTTACATCAGATAATCGATTTACAGTAAGGAAATACTTCTCGCTTCATAAATCCCCAGTGAGGTATGCTTTGCAACTGCAGGCAGTTGCACAACTTACTGTTATATGACAAACAGGAAGACAGCACTTTTTCCTCTCAGTGTATTTGTCTGTCACCTTGCAAAATCTACAGTAGCAGCCTGCAGAGATGCAAACGACAAATAATAATAATATTAATAAATGGAATTTATAAAGCGCCTTTCACAGGACCCAAGGTCGCTGTACATGGTGGACAGACAAAACAAAACAGACAATGAGGAGCGAACAAAACAAAAAAAAGGCTGACTTATTATAAATTAATACCACATAAATAAGGCTTTGGAATACCTTTAAGAGCTTCTGAGATCTGTTTACTTTTCTGTTTTAGAGGAAGTTTTATTATTATGGTCTCAGCAGTAGTTTTTCTTTCTCAACTGATACAAAATTGACAAATGAAAAATATAGAGCTGTTCTCCTGATGTTAAACTTGAATGAAAAACATGATTAAGTGAGAGTTGTAAAAGAGTGGCAGTTCTGAAAGGCCTTTTTTCAGTCAAATGTAGAATAGGTGATCAGTCTGTGTTTTTTAATTTTGGTGGTGAGCAACTTGTTTTGTGTTACCTTCCCATTTTAGACTCTCCTCAACTTACTTAAAAGAAGAGAAAAAAAAGACCGTAGTCTTCTTTCTGGTTGAAACAACCCCGACTCTTTCACAGTAGCAGGATTACAGGGGTAGTGAGGGGGGACCCTAGCGATTTCTGCAACCCACATTGAGTCGGCATGAGTTTAAGTGTGTGAAGTAACAGCCTGGTAGAGCAGAGCCATGTGTGTGTTGCTCATCAACACTGTGTGACTCTGCTGATGCTGCTTCTCCCACCCACCCACCCACCCACCCACGCACGCACGCACGCACGCACACACGCACGCACGCACGCACACAC